TATTCGTTGCGCTGTCCATCCTCTATTTCCTTTTATTCAAGTCGTACATCCCTGTAGAAATCATATCACATATTATGTTCGTCTTTTATTCGTGATTCTAATATCTTTTTATTATATCTCTCTTGTGAATAGAGGTCTGGTGGTAGTCAAGTCGATATTTGCCAGTGCTGTAATTATGTTAGAAAGATGAGATAGTGTTCATCTGTCAGGGACATAATACAGACTCACCATATCTCATCCCAACCTTTTAGTTTGATAGAGACACTAATGACATCCAGAGTTATAACTTTCGTTTTAAAAAGTCACTCACTCTTCTCGGTACTTGACATGATTCGTCTGTTCTGAGCAGTCATCACTTCTTTTTAAAATACAATCTTGTCTGACCTAGGGTTATTCGTTTTCTATGGGCATTTAAGGGCGATCGGTGGTTTTAATGAACTATGTGTTTAGGAAATACATCAATATATTAACGTTTTCTTGCAAAAGTGCTCATTAAGTATATCTTTTTATTTAATATTAAAGAAATACATGGACGTATACATTATCTTGTTTTTGACTCCTATCATTTAATTCTGGTTTTACTGCCTTTTGTAATAAATTTTAAATATTAAATTATTTTTAATTATTTAAAATTGTATATTTATATGACATAACAATATATCGCCCCTACAGTTCATGCACATTTTTGTTCATTGTCGTACAGTTAATCAGCCAGATTATGTCTAAAATAAATACCCAAACAACATGAGATAACCTTCTCTAATACCCCCGTCAAACCGGGGTGGCGTCCTTACTGCGCTGCTACGGCGATGGAAATTGGTTATAGAGCGCGTCAAGATCGCCATAAGCGTGGTAGAAACGCCAGCTATCGTGCTGTGGTTTCCACAAACGCCAAGGTTCTGCGATTGGAACTGGAAAGCTATGGGAATGCGACTTTTTTCAAGTTTGTAATTTTGGGGGATATTTTATCGTGTTGTGTTCACGTTTGCCGGCGACCTTGTGCATTTTCCTGGTCGCCGTACGGTCGCATCAGCGCGGTAAAGACGCCACCCCGGTCTGATGGGGGCATTAATCTTTATAATATTGAATCCTTATTAGGTAGGGCAAAAGAATTTGGTTGTATTGAATCATTTATTGTAGCTTCCCTTCTACAACAATAAAGCCAAGCGACTGTAATTTAGATATATATTATTATTAACATTAAATTGGAGATAGTCTTAACTGCTAGATGTTTTGTTTCCACAGAGTTTTAATAAAAGGATATTTCTTGAAACGGGTATTTATAATATGACAGTCTAGACGAGTTGTTACGTTCATTTTCTATTAATATGGTTAATTGTAAGCTAAGATCATTGGTATGGATGCCCTACTGGTAGTCTTTAAGCAGGAAGCAAGCCGGTTTCTCCGAGGAACTGAACACAGTTACATAGTACTCAGTAGAGAGAGAGAGAGAGAGAGAGAGAGAGAGAGATAAATGGGGTTTAACGTCCACTCGACACAAACTAGGTCATTTCGGGACTAACATACGGTTTAATGTTTATTTCAATAATTCGCTTGCGCGTAGGGGTCTTTAGCAGTGGGGGGAAACCGGAGAACCCTAAAGAAACCCTCGAGATTGGACTGGCGACCCTATTCCTTGTCACGTACAACCGGGGGAAACGAAACCCCGCCAGTTGACTCAATGACAGACCGTATGATACAGCGCGCGCGTGCTAACCATTCGGCCATCCAACACCCCCTCCCCCAGTAGAGTTACATATTTATATCAACAAAGAGAGAGAGAGAAATGGGGTTTAACGTCTACTCAACACAAACTAGATCATTTCGGGACTAACACATGGTTTAATTTTATTTCAACAATTCGCTTGCGCGAAGGGGTCTTTAGCAGTGGGGGGCAACCGGAGGACCCGGAGAAAAAACATGATGTTGGACAGATGACCCTACTCTTTGTCACGTACAACCGGGAAATCGAAACCACGCTAGTTGACGCAGTTACAGACCTTATGATACAGCGCGCACGTGCTAGCCATTCGGCCACCCAACCAGCCAGATAACTGATCAGGGGATGTACCAGTTCAAATTTATTATTTTATTATTACTCAAAATATTTGAACGATAAAACTCTTTAAAATAAGATAATGATTTAAAAACAAAATATAAATTGAAACCTTTTGAAAATAAATGGAGTTTTAATTGTTTATTCAAAATAACCAGAGACTGGGTATTGCGTATATTTAAAGGAACTTATGCACAGAAACACATGGTATACAGTGCACGTCTCAAATGAAACTACTGTTCAGTGTTCCAAGAGTATTGTTCAACCGTGTGTTGGGTTGTCTCCCGATCTTCCGGCTGAATACAACATTTTCAATTATTCACCAAGGATAGGGGTGGGAGTGTTTAGTAACTAAAGATATTTATTAGTGTTTAGAAACTGCCTTTCGCAATGCTCAATGTAACTAGGGCAGAATTAATTAGCGTAACCTTGAGGTATCCCATAATTAGATTAGTAAATTAGATTATTTACATTAGGAAATTTATTTTATTGAATTATATTGTGTAAGCCTAATTATTGCTTAATACGTAGACAAATTTTCGACTGTTAAGAAAATAGCATAATTGCACATTTACCAGTACATCACTTCTATGTATATTTTGAATAGGTGAAATGAATGGAAATTTGGATTAACGTCCTACTTTTCCGTACTGACTGGGATACGCCATACTGTGTGCTAAGAGCTGCATTTTGCCCAGAGAGCGGCGCTACGGTCTAAACTCATTTCGACTTCTAACTGCCAGGGGTTGCTGACCAAGCCCTCCACAAGCCCTCCACCATACATGTATTAAATAGAATAATTTCGAGATGATACCATATCGTTTTTTTAAAAAAAACAACATAAGTTATGATGTTACTGCTGGTGTAGTAAAGTTGGAGCACTACTACTATTGTTTCTCATATTTCATTGATGATAGTTTGGCGGTCAGCAGGGACTGAATGACTGGTGGATCTTCACAATAACTGATCTTCAAAACGTAAAGCATTGATTACCGGCAATAGCCCAAGATAGATTGTATACATTATAACTGATGTTTTGCCATCTTTGACACTAACATAAAATAACTCATTCAAAACTAATTACTATGATTGTTACCTCACGACACCATTAAAATATTAATAGTCATCATTACACGCTACTTCAAACTATACACAAACACGAAGGTTCATTGATTGCTTGGTAACCGATATAAATATACTATATACAGTCAAGTTCAATTTTCAAGGAATGAGTTGAAACCTGTAGATGTTTCTGCTATTTTTCGTGGAAATATTCCAAACCACAGACCGGGTCCCAACCAGTTTTATCTTTAAACGCGGTGGCAGGATCAATGTTAAAGTGACAACATGATCGAGGCCCATTTGTCGTTTGGAACTTAGACAAGCCGGAACATCTTATTTTCTCGAACAACTTGTTGTGTAATAATATGAAGCTTAACGTCATACTTTTTTTTTAACAATTGGGCTAATGAAGACGGGCTGGTCTGTGAGGGAAATGTTACCACGCCAGCGCTGTTTCATCCTGATCTTTTTTCGAATTCCAGCTGTTAATTAAGCGTTCTTTTACATGTACGCCAACATGTACGCGGCGCCTCCGGTATTCATAACCATCTGAACAACAAGACACCGTTTCCAGCTAGGCCTTCGTCATACATCAATGACACGGGGAAACCAGACTGAAAATTTTCTCTGCCAACCCGGGATTGGAACCCGGTACCAATTTACCACCATTGCTCCCTGAATAATTTGCTGAATAGGCTATGGTAAAGCGCTGAATTTCTTATTATACACATTAAGTAACATAACTTAAAAAAAAGCTTTAATTAATTTAGAGTCGAATATCGTTTAAAATAACTACTATTGTTTTGTAGTTGATGCAGCTAACAAATCATGAAATCATTTAAATAGATAATAATTATTAATTTCCCAAGGAACCAAATGTTCCGTTATTTTTTATATTTAGACTGTTGATATAGTAGCTATCGTTTTATAGCAATTAACTAATGAATTAAATTACAACGCTTTTATATTGACATAAACTTGTGAACCATTGTATGATGTTTTAATCTAATCGATAGAAAGTAATAATAGAAGCCATAACATCATCTAAAACAAACATTATTTGAACAAATAATTAGAACACAATCGAGGAAAAAAATCTTTTTCTTCCTGTATTCTGAATGATTCGTGTTGATTCTTGTAGAAACTTAACAGTTGTTAAAAGCACCGTATGTACGACACCATGGTCTCTGTCATTTTTCTCCATTTTCATCGTCGTAATCATTATTCATCCACCATTATTATTATAATTCACATCTTCATCATTATTATTATTTTCTTATCATCATACCATAGTGATTTTTATCACTTATCGACATCATTCATATACATCGTTATTACATTCTTTATAATCCCGCAGGGCAATGGAAGACATACTGTCCCTTTGTTTCTTTCGGTTTTGAATTTGTCAATGCATTGTGTGCGTGTATATTCACAAAAATACTGCAGTAGTCTTAATGACCGTGCTAAAGATGTGATGAGACGTCGGGTGTTTTAAGGCACTGCAGCATGGGTTTTCCCAGTACTTTAAGAGGGACTCCGGGGGATTAGCTTAACATCCCAATGGCTGAGTAATGAAATTAGCATTAGAGTTTATTCATGCCATGGCATGACATGTTTAATCAAATCTTAAACAGTCTAGTATGTAGCGATCGGTGTGGTACAAGAGGCAGGTTACTCCCATTCCTTCCGGAACACCTGATACAACTGTGCTATCATTACGTCCGTCTATTTGATCCTTTCCGGTGGTGATATCCATTTACTTTTTACTTTGATTTATCATTTCATATTTATTAATTTTGATTTGTTTTTTGGGGTGGATGAAACAATATTTTTTATTCATTATATGGCTAGTTGTTAATCAATTTGCTGTAATTATTTACAGAAGTTGAAGGTGGCAAATCCAGAAAGCGACAGTTGAAACCTAGTTTTGTGTCTGAAGTAACCAATATCACTGTACACGTTGGTGAGGAGGCTGTTTTACCTTGTACAATACATTACGTGGGAACCAGACAGGTAAGAATATCACTTGTCAATTTGAAATCAAATGGTTTAATGCCCTATTTTTCTGCATATACTGGGCTAAGGAAGACGGACATGTGAGGGAAATTTTGCCCGGATAGCGGCACGGAACCTCAGTCCTACACAACTGACAAGCCGCCGGACGATTTTTCTTGACCAAAACCGGGATCGAACACGGGATCTGCAGGTTAGTGAGCCAACGTCTTCTTAGGAAACTTTGCTCCGACAGCGGCACAACTGCCTACTCATATTTCGATTTCCAATTGTCAGTGGATCTTTAATGCGTCATCAATGGTATATAATATGTATACATGGAATCTGGTATTTTTCGTCCCACTAAACGACAAGAAGCTTTTCCTTGCTAGGTTAATCATCAAGCGCCGTGGGCTAGGTTTTTCGATCTAGAAAATCTCGAGTATCCCATCAGTACCACCGGAATAGCCATAATCAACGAGTCAACGCGGTCCCCGGTAGTGAAGTGATAGCAGCTTCTGGTAGTTAACCATTTAATTTCATTTTGACAGTTTTGACATCTGTTGCGCTATGTGTCTTGTCACTGTAAGAGTTCGAGCACACACACGGACTACTCCTTTACAAATTATAATTTTCAGTTTACCATTCACGTCTACCCAAGTGTTTAGTATGGGTGTTGTATGTCCTTCAATATACGCGATCTCGTGTAATGGTGTATAGAAGTTGCATGGAAATAAAACCATCATCACTCGTTAAATGTAGATTTATTTACAAGTAATCTAGCAGAACTCGTCTACTGCACCAAGAAAATGATTTAACAAAATATTAGAGAGAGGATTTATTGATAAAGAAAACATTTCGGTGGCGTCAAGTCGTTTTCTTTCTAAATATATAGACTGGTGTGATAAATCTTGAAATCGATATATTTGGATAGAACATGCAGAGTTATCTTATCTTGTTGTTGTTGTTACACGTGATTACCTTGATGAGAAACCTTTAAAAAAAACATAATCTGTTAGATCTTACACCCGAAAATAATGTTGGAGCAAATTGTGTTTATATTTAGCAGATGTATAATCAACGCACTTGTTAATACATCGATATACAATACGTTGACTAGTGGTCTTCAAAAATTAAAGCAAATTGCTCTTAAAATACTGTATTTTAATAAAAGATTCATAAACAGATAATCTTCTATGAATGAATTGGTACTTGAATTTGCGTAATTGCATAAAACAACGATATATATGTCTGGCGTATATGAATAATCTGAGAGTATCTGGATTGTTGTGCCTTTAAAAATAAAAAAATAAAATGTACAAACGGCATACTAGTAACATAATCATTTGGATGCAGTGTGTGAAAATGTTGCTTTAACAACGACGCATTGCTAAATTGTTAACACGCACGAATACGCATATGAAAGGCAGAAAGGATAGCTGCTCTCTTAGATATGATCAACAGTTTAACGTATATTTAGTATGTATAACTTCAGATCTTAAACGTTCCTAGAACCAATCAAAACCTGATATGCAAAAGAAATGAAGTGAAAGGGGACTTACCGTCCCTAATTTGCTCTGACAGAGGCGCTACAGTCTATTCTTAGGGGATCTTGAACATGCTGCCAGTGGTAAACGTGGGATTTTGGTTTGTCGATCCATCACTCCCAGTTATAGTGTGCCAAACTAAATTTAATCAATCCCTTAGCTTAATATTCTCCGTTACAGGTATCATGGAAGAAGATGGGAGATGATTTCTTTTTGACAATAGGAGATATCACGTGGACCCGCACTGATGAGATTAGTGTAGAGCATGAACAACATGCTGATGAAGTTAGCGACTGGCATCTCGTGATTAAATCTGTCAGTTTTAAAGATGCTGGTATTTATGAATGTTCTATTATAGCCAAGATGAAACAAACACACCAAATCACTTTAAATGTGTTAGGTATGTATGCAATGAAATGAAATGAAATGTAATTTAACGGTGTCAATCAAGACTTGCATCCGCCATGCAGTCTGCTATGACGGAACTTTTGGCATGACAGTGGCGGCACGATCTACTCATATTTCGTTTTGAAACTGTCTAGGGTTCTTTTACGTGCACGCCATCGTGTACTCTAGACCGGGGTTTCTCGTCTCATCCGAATGACTAGATAATGTTTCTCCCAGGCCTTATGTCCTGCCACACTTATAAGGGAAAGCCACGCTGGAATTGAAGAGGTACTTTGTCGGTCAGCACCGGGGTATAAACAAAAACCTCCTGGTTAGTGAGTCAGTGGCTGACTGTCTGTGCCACAGGTATAATGAAGACGAACGCTTAGTACCTGTCTTAAATATTGGATATCAAAAACCCATATTTTCCCAGTATGATCACAACATCAAAGTTGAGTTAAATTGACAAATAATTCATGTTTTTAATGTCGAAGACTTTGCATGATATTGAGTTAAAGACTTAGTTACTTTAAACATACATTATGCAAAAGCTAAAGCTGCATATTGAAGGTCTTTCTTTAGGCCTGGAATGTCATATAAACTATTAATCTGACATTTATTAACATGAAAAGACCTTAGTCAACTCTCGGTGCCATCTTATGTGTCGGATTTTCACTGGATTTGAATCCGATCTACTGTCCAACACACATTGATGATTGAAACCAAAAATGGATAATCGAGTCTATGTTTTTATGTGGTACTGATGTTCGAGGCTAGGCCTAAAATTCAATTGCTAATATCTTGATTCAGGGTGGAGTAATTTGACTGAAATTTTCAGCATATTCCCTTTACATTATCAAGTTTTTAACAATTATAGTGAGAACTTCCAGCTCCTTGCCTCATCTTCCATATTGTGTCTTTAATTATTGACGAAATTGTTTTCTGCTCGTTGATTTCTTTCGACCCACAAAATGAACCCTTCCCATCGATAGGAATGTCCTTATAAATATACTAATTGTTACATTTGTCATATTTCCAGAAGAAAGAGAGAAAAAAGAAGGCAAGTTTCATTATATTATTTTACTGTCACATACATGTACACCTAAAAACGTAGGGGATATTGAAATGCAAATACCTATGCAAGTTGTGATATGATAAATAGTCATGAACACTTTACATGCTTAGAGAGTATGTTCACAGATGAAGAACTTATCGCCTTAACAGAACCACAGAACTTCGCCTGCGACACGCAATAGCACCATACACGTTTGGGGGGTTTCATTGTCAAATTTGACACTTCAAGGAAGGGTTGATAAAAACTGCCGCGTGCTGCTTTATCCTATCCATGGTTGCTTTCCTGTCGGTTCTTGCATAAGATTTACTGTTTAGCATAGCTTTGCTTTAGTGCGTTACGTTTAATTTGCAATGAGACGTCTTCAACATGACGAACGTCTACATGCTACTGGCATGCTTCAAATGGGTTCTACATAGCGAGCAGTAACCAGCATGCTTAATGTGTCACCGTCTGTGATCAGCAAACTGGGGAACTGGTACCAACAAACACACACTGCTGATGATAGACCTCGTTCAGGTCGTCCTAGAGCTACTACACAAGCCCATAGGATCGATACATTCGTACACAGGTCATGCGAAATCGAGGACAAACGGCCAATCAGCTTTCTGTAAACTTGTACCAAGTTATGGTGTGGAGACGAATCACAATGAGTGGCCGAACGGACTTGCATATTGTTCAAGGAAGGGTCACTGTGTGTTCTACCGCTAGTTCTGCCCTTTGCTCAACGTGCAGATCGACGTTTCGTCTTTCAAGAAGATAATGCCCGTGCCCATCGCGCTCGTGTCGTGAATGACTACCTCCAGCGTCACCATATTGTCCATATGCCTTGGCCAGCCATGAGTCCTGACCTTTTCCCTATAGGTCATGTCTGGGACATGATCGGGAAACATGTTCGTCGACGTCAACGTCAACCGACAACACTGCAAGAATTGGCCGTGGCACTGCAAGAAGAGTTGGTCAGATTGCCCCAAATCGTGATTGGACGGTTGATTAGGAGCATGCCACGACGAATTGCTGAATGTCTGAGGATTGGTGGGGCAATTACTCATTATTAAGACAAAAATCAAAAACGCCCATTTTCACTTTTGACAGTGTATCTCTACGAGTGAAATGGGGCCGTCAGATAAGCCACCCATATGAACTGTTTATGTTCATGTGTAGGCAATTGGCCTGTTATAAACATACACTGGTTACCTCTAGTAAAAACAGTAGTGCATTTCCGCAGTTTTGTATTGTTTCTGAATATCCCCTACTTTTTTTTAAGAAACTATTATTTTATAAATAATATATCATATTAGTCAGTCAGTGGAAGGGAGACAACTACGTTTAGCTTTGAGAAAATGTACATTGAACAGCATAATTTCACATCCTTGCAGTATCCATTCCAAGGCGGTTTCATTTATTCTGTGTTTAAAGTCCTGATGGGTCATTTACATTTTCGCTAAAATATATAATTCTCACGACTTAATGGACGCTAAATATGTACATATTTTTATTTAACATTTCATTATGAAAACGAAATTTAAATACCAACGCTACAAGGGATTACTATTGCTTAAAATGGCGCATCGGGACTTTAAGATTTAAAACGTGTATATTTATATGCCCTAGTCCTGCGTCTGAATGTTGAAATTTCAAATAGTCATCTCGATAAAATACAAAAATTAAGTACTGAAATTTATGTTATGTTATTTAACATCCCCTACAATTTTCTGAAAACTGTGCTGTTTCAATAGTACATTACCCCACTCCATGAAAAACGGAACTAAATATCGAGTCAAGTTTTAGTTTCTGGACAGTTTTTAATGACCCTGGGCGGTTGGGGGACCGAATGGTTTAACGTGTGCGCGTTCGATTACAAGATCTGTCATTGAACCAAAACGCGTGGTTTCGACTCCCCGCTTGAACATGACAAGGAACTAAAACTAAATCATATTTTAGTACCGAAATAACCCGTTAGAACAAAATTAAATTCAATTAAATTTTTGTTTTAATTTTTCAAAATGTTATTTATTCATTTCATTTCATTTTCAGGTATGAAGTTAACGGGTAATCGTTTTATAAACCTAGGAGAACATGTTGTGTTGACGTGTAATGCTACAGGTGGACATCTTATTCCCGAAGAAATAGACTGGTTTAAAGATGGAAATATCATTCATACTGAATACGATCAAAGTGTCCGAATAAATAAAAAAGTGGATTTAAAAGCAAGATCGTTGATAAGTGAACTTATTGTTGAGCGAAGTAAAGTTAGTGATTCGGGAACGTATATATGCCGAAGTTCTAATGAAGATATCCAAAGTCTAGATGTCACGGTTTTAGTAGGTAAGAATTATAAAAAAATGACATTATTTAATAAATATATAATGAAATCACAAGACTGAAAGTTATTCTACATAAAGCACATAACGAGCGGGTCCTTATTATATAATTATTGTTTTAGTAATCTAAGATGCTACTGTTGCTATCGTCAGTGGTATGATCATTAGTTCAACGTTACAATATATATAGATAATAGGTTGGTAAAACCAAACGAATAAGAATCCCAGTTTCACCTGAAAAAAAAATCCACAAATAAGACTAGTAATCAGTTAGGCTGGTGTCACTGGGTAACGCACTAATATCTGATATCAGAAACGCAATGGTAGCATTAATGAATTGTACTTCACTGTTACGGTCCTTTTTGACAAGACAGTCACAGTAGCTAAGTGATTAAGCCACTGATTCACAAACAAGGTTTGGGTTTTGATCGCTGTGTTTGCCGGGAAAGTTCCTCGGGGACTTTCCAGTCTGGTGTCTCCTTGTAAGTGATGCAGGAAATTCGTCTAGTCGTTCGGATGGGGCGAAAGACCGGTGTCCCGAGTACATGTTGGTGTAAACGTTAAAGAACCAGAGACAGTTGGAATTCAATTAAAGGCTGTCCGGGCAAAATATCCCACATAGCATATATGTCCGTTGTCATTAGCCCGGTTGGTTCAGAAAAGTAGGACGTTAAACCCCATTTCGTTTCATTCATTCATTTCTTGTTGACAATAACTAATTGCAAACCAGCGTTTAATGTATATATATTTAATATTTTCAGCTGATTCATCAAACGTTAAAAGGGGCACAGATCCATTCGGAGGAGCTCAGACCGGAAATGGATCTAGGAGTTGTGGATCGCGGAACTTTCCAGACATTTTCGTGTTGAGTATCTATATTTTCGTTTTGATATACACTTTAAGAAGTGACTTGGTAAAATTGTGAAAGATGTGAAAGTCGGGTGATTAAATTGTGCAATATAACTAAACCAAATGTTGGGAGATTCGAGTCTGATATTATGAGAGAAGCTGGTCAAGGGAGATAACCCACTTTCTCAAGATGGTTTGAAATATATACTATCAGGCGAATTCGAGTGTTGATTTCGAAACGAAAATTGTAAATAGGCCTGTGTAATATAATAAGTGTATTTATTTCATACAACGTATTGACCAAGTACCAACAGATACACCAGACGTTATTAAGGAATTAGTAGAGTCTGCATTGATAGCGTCATAAGAATTCAAATTGGAATTTTATATTTGGTACGATGGCAGACGTTCGGATATACGTTGTGTTATCTAATTGATAATCTGATCAAAAGATCGTTTTGTATATTTGTTGTAAGTTTAGCACAAGATTGATATTTATTTTTCAACAAAATTACATCAATAAACCCTGGTGTGTGCTGTTCAGATCCACTCGATCTAACATTTTATCCGGAATTCAACTAAACATAGTTAGGGCATTTTATTTTTCATGCATTGTTAACTAAATTCAATACCGTTTTGGATAACTTATTTATTGTGTGTGAAAAATGAACTCTGGTCAGTCCATATTCATGACTGCTTATATATTGTTTCTATTACTGAAATAATGCAAGAAGCAAGATATGCTGCACTGTGAAATGTAAAGTTTTAAAATTAACATCTTGTAATAAAAATATGTTCTATTTCCGTCAGTAATATGATAAACACAACATACCTCGGTTCTGGACCATATTTTGTTAAACTGTTAAAACATATTGGTATTCAACCTTCAGATATGGATGTGTTAGGCACACATACAGTAATGGCTTCTAGTAAATTAATAATGTCAGAAATATAATCTGTATATACGTCGCCATAATTATTAACAAGACTGACTAAATTTCGTTTATCTGGCAATTTAGCATCCACTGGTTGTTGTATTTAACACTTTCTGTTTGCAGTGCATCTTAATCAATGATATTACATCGGGTAAACTTGTGTGCTTTGTATAATTTAGAGACATTTGTGTATATGGTAATAGTTAACGTACTATTTGTGTAAGTTTAATTTGTATTTAATGTAGATAATTTAAAGGGAATGGTTACTGATTGCCATTTTTGGGGGTTTTAAGATATATTATCAACTTTCAATTTATTTTTCAGTGTACGAATCCAACAAAATGACAACGAGTAACCTTCCCCTTTAAGAAATAAATTTATTATTTGGTCTTTGTTATATTTTTCTTATTTATGAATCATTTATATAATTTATATCATTTATTGGTAATTTCTAGGAACACAACATCACTTTATGACTGACATAAAAGTCATTTGTTTCAAGCGTCTTGTGTTTTGTGTGTGTTTTCATATATATATTAGGGAGACCGCGGTAACAAAATTATTTTTCAGATTTCCCACTTATATAAAGTTATAGGTATAATAATAAATAAAGTAATGTAAACCATTTATTATATCTGAAGTTATAGGTAAGTTGTCAGAATAGTTTCCGTTGCTTTGAAGAAGTAGACACAAAAGATGCTATAATATAGTCCAATGGCTAAGCAAGGTCGGATAAAAAAAAATACTTGTGTTTACAGCTACTTGGGTTAAGATTGGATAGCAATCAGTGAACTAATAGATTAATCTTTACATATACTATATCCATACTAGCAGCCTATAGCCTTTGTGGTGTCATTTTAAGTAGGCAAAGTGTGTATTATTTATTTCTTAGCATTTCTAGCTATATTACTGAGTAATTTACTGATTCCTGCTGTAATCATACCGTAAGTTCAGTGTATGCACAAAACCACGTCAGGACCGATGTATGTGTCCTAGTAATTGAGAAAAAAAAGGTTTTGGGTCGACGACTAGGGCTAAACAAAATAGGGTCGATCAGGTAACCGTAAACACAGGTTATATTTTTAGCCTAAGGTACTATAATCCTAAGTTTTGACATTCAATAAGGTGTCCAGCAAAGCGTGAGATAATTACTGCTTCAACTTGTTTTTCAACTGTTGACATTACGGGATAGGGGCTTCAGACAACAACTAGTATTACAAGAAACAAGTTAACATCACAGACTTTGCGTTTCCTTATTATAAATTATGATATTCAGGGAAAAAGATATAGCAACGTTTTTTGAAACTTGGCTAACAAATTACATTTTACCTTTGTCCTCGATAACGTTTTAACCCCTTGTAGATAGTGTCACTGTCCTATTAAGGCACATTTTAAAACACGGGAAACTTGCACGAGCTAAGGGCAGGGGCACACTAGCATGCCACAAGCTACTTTGGATTCACCCCATTTGTGTAATTAAATCATAGGAGAATGTTATAGCTTTAGTTGAGGTCGGTACGCGAGTCAGCGCTGCCTTCCGAGGTTAACAGTTTAATCAAAAAATATGTTTTACGTGCGGGTCATTTATTTATCCATTGTTTATAATTATATATAAATAGAACAAAACTAATTGATGAAATTGACCTCTGGTTTCAGTTTTAAAATACATGGTTTGTCATTACCGAACAATGTGTCCCCCGGTCCCCAACCACCCGCGCAATCTACTTTATCTGTATACGGCCCACCAAAATTCTAAATTCAATATTTTATTCGGACCTCAACCATTGCAATTAAGTAATAAGTAAAATAGAAAACGTTCTAATAATGTAAATATACTGTAATATGTGTAATGATATAATAGGTCAATATGTTATAATACCGCCCGATGTAGTGCTGTAATAGGTCAAGGTTCACAATATAGTCTAATGCAACCCAGTGCGATGCTGTAATAGGTCAAGATGTCATAATACAGCCCAATGCGATGCTGTAATAGGTCAAGATGTCATAATACAGCCCAATGCGATGCTGCAGTAGGTCAAGATGTCATAATACAGCCCAATGCGATGCTGCAATAGGTCACGATCTCATAAGAGTTCATTGTACTTTTATAGAATGCACAGAGAGAAATAAATAAACAGTTTAATAGTGATACCCCTATGATCTCCCTCGTCCCTATTGTCAGATACCCCTCCCCCAACCAGCAATGTAATCTCTCTCTCTAAAAAAAACCTAAATAGCCAGTATACAAAATGTGAATGATCGGAAGTTCATATTTGTCACGCTGTTACGTAAATGAAAGCATAGCTCCCGAAAAAAGAACAGTTGATACAGCGTCTCCCTCATTGACTGACATTTAGTATTTTTAAGTAAGTTTTATTGGGCGCAAATAAATAGACAATATCCAGTACTGCCTTTGTAACGTACAAATAAATTGCTTAGATGTACTTATTTATGTTTAAATATTGAAATAAAGAAATTATTATAATGATAATAGTGTTGTGAATAAGAGTGTTTCGATGGTGTTATATATCTGTTTCGAACAAAAAATACACACAAATAAAATAGGTTCTAATTTGCAAAATATTTAACAGGTATCCGGTGGTTTAAGTGGGTGTAGGTGTGTAAACCAAATGCCAATGTATGAATAAATAAATATCCGATGTACCATGTGTCCATAAATATCACTGGTCACTGTTACTGGACAATATTTCTACAAAGCATCAATCTGTTTTATATAGATCAATATACTTCCGCTACGACTCCTTTGGGGACAGTAGGTTAGCGCATTATCTAGTTAAACACCTCGGAAACAAGATAAAAACCTATACATGTATGTATAACGGAAAACTCATATTCCTGCCACCAGCATCATACATAATTATCATAAATAAGCTAATTTATAATAGGAAAATAAACGTCCAATCATCATCATAATGGAAAATGTACAAAATTTATAAAAAAATGTACAAAATTTCTAATAAGCGTCTAATCTGTGTCCTCCTCATAATCCTCACACAGTAAGGATAAATTGATGTTCTCGTCATATACAGCTTTCTTACCTCCCTTTATGTCTTTGTATCGTGTATTACCATTATCCTCGGCAAGCATAAAATCTAACCCGTGTAAACGCCTGTATACAAACGCTAGGAAGAGATAGAACGTTAACAGTATAACGATATTCATGGCTATGTGAGCGCCGTAAGCTGCCATGGCAAAATGAACATTCCGCATATCCCCTTGATTCCATTGTGGAGCTGGTTCACTTCCTGGAATGATAAATGGAACCTATACTGAAATTGGGCGTTGCTGACTGAGCGAATCATTATTTCTGCATATCGCCGATTTTGTAAAAAAGAAAATAATTAAATGCACAAATGACCGTAAACTCTACAACAGTAATATGTAAAGAGCCAAACCAGTTAGATATCTGAATGAAGAGTTAAAAATGTAAGTTTTTAAATGCATAGCTATAGTATCTCAAAACAAATTGGAAGATTGGTATTACCTGGAAAACGACCATCATGTATGAAGAGTATGAATGCCATTTGAACAAACCAGGTCCCAATTGTCATCACTCCTAACATACGTATAAAAACAGTCGTGAATCCCTTTCTATGAACCATTTCAAACAAAAAGGCAACACCAGTCGGCACAAACGATATGATTTGTAGCTGATGACATATTCGCTCTAAAGGCATTTTATTTTCTGCATGAAGTTCATGGAGATAAAAAGCTACTGCAAACCAGAGGAAGGAAATGGCGAATAATAAATAATTGAGGTCCTTGGGTACCGGAAATCGCATCCACGATATCAAATCTACAACTCCCTGTATAAGGAATAATCCATACACAGTGCAATGTGTCATATTTAAGGTTTTCCGAAAATCTCCATTTTCATCCTCAAATCCGAATCCCTCATCAAAAAATTCTCCTAGAAATCCTGAAAATAGTAGTTAGCATGAATACATTACTTATATGTCATCTACATTTAGTAGGATCTTACCTGTTTGAAGTAAAACAATTTTATTAATGGACTTCACTAACAATTTGTACGAATCCACCAGGGATGCATTCACGAATAAACTGACTCTGTTTAAGGTTCATGATCTTTAATTTGCTGGATATTACTTTATGATAAACCCACACAACTTACACAAAGTACATTATAATATACCTATTAAAGCCATTAAAATACGACCGCAAATTTCTAATGGTGGTAGTCGTCTGTTCCTCATACAGCATCTTGATGACCTGAAGTAGATTTGAGGTATAAATTCCTTTCCTTGACACACACACTGCAAAATAAGAAAACATCATTTTCTATAGCAATCGGATATTTCTCAACTTTTACGACCCATTTACTGTGTGCTACACTTTCTTTTTATAAGCCCACATTTTCATGTGGGCGTATATTGGCGTCGGCCCTGTTCGCATTTAGTTTGTGGACACTCTATAGGTAACAATTGTTATCCGATTTTGACGAAACTTGAAATATAGGATGATATCCCAAAGATCTCCGTTCCTTTCGATACTGGCGCAAGTTTTACGTCTACTGTCACCAGGGGTGATATCGTAGACAATTAAGTTTGTATACGCCTACATTTTCATGTGAACTTATATTGTCGTCGCCCCTGTCCGCCCGTCCACAAATTGTTTGTGGAGACTCTACTGGTCACAATATATATCAGAATTCGACGAAAGTTGGAATATAGGTTAATCTCCAAAGGTTTTCGGTTCCTTTCGATATTGGCATGTATCAGGTTGTAATTTCATGGATTATGACCCCGATTTTACGAAAAATCACGTGTGTAGCTTGTGGGCCCCCTAGAGGTCACACTTTTGACGAAACTTAAAATATATGTTTATATCCAAAAGATCTCGGTTCCCTTCGATATTCGCACATATCGGAGTGTAACTTCCTGGATTATGGCTCACTAGTGTACGTTAAAATCGCGATCTTAGCTTGTAGACCCTCTAGAGGTCACAATTTTTATCCGATTTTAGAAATCGTTTGTAAGTATATCACCGTTACACCCTGGTGATGGTTGAGTCCGATTTTGTGAAAATCAGACCGAAAATGCGCGACAAAATGGCCACTCCCTGTACGCAAATAGTGTAAAAGTATGTAGAACTTAAGTATGAAGAGGGCACAATTTCTATCCGATTTTGATGAAACTTAAATTATATGTTTATATTCTTTGTATAAAAGATACACGTAGTATTTTTTTTAGTTATTTGCAATTTTGAAGGGAGTATTAGGATTAACAGTAATCCACTAATAGGCCCTGCTGAGCTCTAGGGTTAAAGTATGTAATATCAAGGTTGTTGACCCCCTAAAGATTACAATTTTGATCTGATTTTGATGAAACTTAAAATATAGGTTTATATCTCAAAGATCTCAGTTCATTTTGCTGTTCAAGCATGTCAACCCGTTACATCCTGGATTATAGATCCTGATTGTACGAAAAATTACTTTTTTTTAGCTTGTTCTCTGCCCATCTCTTGCAGAATGTCAACCACTTGTTGTTTTAATTTTGTCATACATAGTCGCATTGGACAAGATTACACCCCAGTGGTATCATGGATCCAAGAAACTGCTGACGGGGCTCGCACTGGCTTTCAATGTTTTATATACAAAAATATTCATATTTTTTCCCGACAACTGGAATATTTTATCTGCCAAAGATGTGTGATAAAAAAAGACAGCACATAACAATTTTATTTCCCAGGTAGGCCTATTAAAAAAACAATTACCGATAAAAAATACAATATATATAACAACTGAAAAAATCCGTCATTACATAATACGTTAGCCCAGTTTTGTGATGATCTAATGGAGCGGAATTTTCCCCATAATTACTAACCTAGTAATGGGTATGCTAATATGCTTACTTCTATGCATTTAACTTCTTACTAACACATGTTAAATCGGCTATTTACACATGTAAAATGATAATTTATATGACTTATCTTTTTAAATATTGCATTTAGAATTTGTATTTTGTTGTTCTATTTCCATTATTACTTTCAATTTATTGTAGTATTTCGTTAATATTTTTACATTTCACAAATGTTACGTGATAAAGGTGTCATGATTCTAAGCTCATTTTCGTAACCGATAGCGCTGTTTACAATTGTATGAAGGCTATTTAGGGACATGTAAAATCTCGCCTTTCTCCTAAGCCGACGCACAAAAATCATAAAATATTTTACGTACAAAAGCAAATTATTCTAGATATTTTTAGTAAGTAAATAGGATTCTTTGTCTTGTATTTCCCCCTATACTGTGGTGCAAGACAGTGTTCCTGACAAGGAACACTGCCTAGTCCTTCCAATGAAATGCACGTAAAAGAACCCTTGGCAGTTGTAATTTGAAATAAGATTATGCCGTAGCGCCGCTGTCCGTGTAAAAAACCCTCATATTGCATACTTCATGGCGTATTCCCGTCTTCATTAGCACAGTTTGTGCTGAACGACGGGACGTTAAACACCATTTCATTTAATTTAATCACCGGTTTTGTGTTATGCGGTAGGGGTCTCTTTGGGGATTGGCCGAACAATTCACCACTTGTAGTGATCTTATTAATTCCATACTATAGTTTGATGTCATAACTAATTGGATAAAGGCCAAACGAATTTAAAAATGGCATATTATGTAATACATATACCAATGTTTATTCGATTTAGATGACACTTAAAATATGCGTTAAAGGTCGAAAGATCTTGGATGCGCATATATCTGACATCGTACCACAGCATCTTGGGTTATGACCCCTGTCTTTTACGCAAAAAGTAAAAAATAATATGTATGAATAAAGTTTGTTCACCCAATTTGAGATGAAACTTAAAATATGGGTTAAGGATCGAAAAATCTTGAATGGTTTGATTTCGGTGTACATAGGACTTTCCGTTCAGGAGTTATCCCCCTTTGCCGAAAACATTGTGGGCAATACAGGCTATAGTTTTTAACAGATTATCTTTTTTTGTAATTTGCTTATGCTCCCTTCGCCAAACACCATATCGATATTCAGCATTCTGCAACCGCCCTTTGCAGAAAACTTTGTAAACTCTATGGAGGCTGCAGTTTTTAACAGATATTTTTCATCTTCGATGTTAAGCATTTGGGACATGAGGGGAAGAGCAATATCGATTTTCACTATCATGCGTCCATTTCTTGCACAAATATGGGCGTAGCTTGCTTAAGGAATTCATAGTGGGTGGCGGGGACGCTTTGTTGTAATTTTACATCTGAATTATTATCATTTCCTTTTTCTCAATCAAATATCAAATAAAATAAAATGTTGTTTATAAACCAAAACAAACACAAAAAACGGTGTTCTACTGGTGTATTTCTATATTACTTAAATAATATCAGAATAATTTACTTTTGTACGTAAAATATTTTATAATTCTTCAGAAAAAATAATAGCCTTTTACTTCCCTCAAAAATATCGAGAACGAATATTGGAGAAAAAAAACAGGCTAAATCAATCGATGTGGCACGACAAAGTAGCCTATTTATTCATCTGAAAATATCTAGAATAGTTTGCTTTGGAAGGTAAAATATTTTATTATTTTTGACAGAAAAATGTCATGTCTGACGGTTATGAAAAAGGCCAGGTTTTACATGTCCCCAATGAGCCACCATATAGTAATCAGCGCCATCTGTTAGCATAATGAGCCTTAAAATTGTGATAAGTCATAATTCTAACTCTCATTATGGTAACAGGTGGCACTGTTTACTATATTGTGGCTTATTGATGGCATGTGAAATTGTGCCCTTTTTTTATATAACACGACATATTTCCTTTCAAACATAGGTACAAAAGTAAATCATTCTCCACAATTTTGAAAGAAAAAATAGGCTATTTTTTCTCTTAAGAAAAATAAAGTATTTTCCCTGCAAAGGTAAATTATTCTGATATTATTTAAAGCGAGAATTTCAAATTTTCTAAGAAAGTCAAAACATAATTATTTCTATGTATTTTGCTCAATATGTTATCAAATCACTATTATACGATCATGGGCATTATTTCCCACCCTTAAAAATCTATGACACAGGAAATAACAACACAATTACCTCCCCTGTTTTGCTATTGACAACATGGGGCAGCCATTTTCCAACGTTGGAATTTGAAGTTAAAAATGATATTTTTGCCAATTTCTCAGCTGGCAATAGCGAATAATAGGATTAATAGGATTATTCTTTAACAAGGTAGGGCTGTTTATGGATACCATCTATTTTAAGGCTTTATTTTAATACATTTTAAAAATATAACTTGAAAATTTGCAATTGCAACTTTAAGTATTCTAGAAATACACCAGTAGAACAAAACCAGCGGCTGCCAGACAAGATACGCCCACATTTTGCAAGAGATGGATAGAGAACAAGCGAAAAACAAAAACAAATGTTTGTACAATCAGGGGTCAATAATCCAGAAAGTTATGGTTCGAAATTCGCAAATATCAAAAGGGACTACGATTGTTGGAATATAAAGATATGTTTTAAGTTCCATCAAAATTGGATAAAAATTGTGACCTCTAGAGGGTCCATAACCTTTGAATTAATACTTATATACAATTTGCACACAAAGAGCGGCCATTTTGTCGGCAGTTTCATTTCGATTTTTCCAAAATTCCAATTCAACCTTCATTATGGTGGAGGAATAATGATCTAAACGGTTTTTAAAATCGAAAAAATAAAAATTGTGACCTCTAGAGAATCCACAAGCTAAAAATGTGAGTTTTCGATCAATCAGGGGCCATAATTCAGGAAGTTAGAACCCGATATGCGCGAATATCGACAGGAGCCAAGATCTTTGGATTATAAACATGCATTTCAAGTTTCATCAATATCGGATCAAAATTGTGAGCTCTAGAGTGATATAATCAAACGTTGTTTGAAATCGGATAATAATTGTGACCTTCAGAGGGACCACAAGCGAAAAAAGGCGATTTTTCGTACAATCAGGGGCCATAATTCAGGAAGTTACGATCCGATATGCGCAAATATTGAAAGGAACCAAGATCTTTGGGTTAGAAACATGCATTTCAAGTGTCATCAAAATCGGATTAAAATTGTTACCTCTAGAGGGTCCACATCCTTGATACACCATATTTTTACTATTCACGTACAAGCGGCGGCCATTTTGTCCGGCAGTTTTCGTCCAATTTTCATGACATTCGAACTCAACCTTCATTACGATGTAATATAAACAAACGTTTTTTGTTTAAATCGGATAATAATTGTAACCTCCAGAGGGACCACAAGCTAAAAAAGGTGATTTTTCGTACA